GAAGCAAAATCAATTCATGATGCCCAACAAAGCTTCAACCTCAAAGCTTCACCTACAAAGCTTCACCAGCAAAGCTTTTAAATATATATATATATATATATATTATTTTTATTTTTTATTTTTTCGGAAATTTGAAAATTCAAAAATCCGGAAATTTGAAAATTCAAAAAAAAACAAAAAAAAATAAAAAAAAAAATAATAAAAAAATAAAAAAAAATTGCCTAGGCCTCCTCTTATTTGGGCCTAACAACTTTCATAACAAATATATATGAAGAAGGAGTTTTGGGCTACCACTTAGAAAGGAAATGCCTCATTCGTCAACTCCCTCGACCAGAGACTTGGGGGACTCCTACCATATGCTACTGCACCTTGATACTCGGAAGTCTCACGACCACTCAGTGACTTGGATTTTTCAAGTCTCCAAACGAGAAGTTTTCCTCACTCGGGAAATTAAGGGAGCACTACCTCAACCTACATGCTTCACTCACAAAGCTTCAACATACAAGCTTCAACAAAAGGAAAAATTCAAAGAACTTAGTGAAGAAGGCCTTGGTGTATTTAACACAATACGTTGAAATGAAGCAAAGCTTATTTATTGAATATTTCCGATAAGTTACAAATATGTACATATACATGAATCAAAATAAACAAACAAGAGGGAGCCTTCACAAAGGTTGCTTAGGGGAAGTCTCAGCAGTCGGTAGAGCCCCAGAAAGAGAAAGCACCGGAGGGTGGTTATCCGGAGCCTCAGTACTTGACAAAAACCCCAGAAGGAGGAGGCATTGGAGGTTGATCATTTGGAAGCTTCATTACGCAGGTACAGCCCCAGAAGACGAAGGCAATAAATGCCTTGGAACAAACCCACAAACCGCTGATGATCAAGTAAAACCTTACCATCAGATTCCTTCATCTGGTCAAGCTTCCTCTTCATGTTTGTAGCATAGTCATGTGGCGAGCCGGTGCAACTGTTTATTCTCATGCTTGAGCCCTCTAATCTCCTGTTTGAGACTCATCACTTCAGCAGCCAATGATTCAACTTGGCGGGTTCTAGCAAATAGGCGTTGGGCCATATTAGACACAGAACCTGCACACTGAACACTAAGAGCCAGAGAATCCTTAACAGCCAACTCATCAGACCGTTTGGAAAGTAGTCTGTTATCTTTGGGAGTGAGAAGGTTCCTGGCCACCACTGCAGCGGTCATATCATTCTTCATCACAGAATCCCCAACGGTAAGAGGACCAGTAGGGGATATGAAGGATGGGCGCCATATGTTGTCTGGAGAAGGCGTGGCTGTCTCTTCTCCAAGGTTCAAGTCAAAACGACGGTCGGAGGGTCCAGACATTTTCAAATGTGTTGAAGAGGGAAGAGGTCAGACAAATCAAGATCTTAGAAGTGCAAGAAATGAGCTTCTACTGGTAGAGATTCAAGTGTGCTGTGGAACTTAATGCCAGCCTCTATAAAAATCTGCACTCGACGGAGCTTCAGAAATCGAAGAGGCGTTTGCTTTCTCAAAAGCTGGCTGCTCAGAGACCACGAGGGCCGATCTCAGAAATCGAAGAAGCACCTGCTTTTTCAGCCTCGTCAGCACCTGTCACATGCACACTCAGCTTTGCGGAAATTACGGGCAATCTGTCGAAGATTTCTGGTGAAGTAGAAAGCACGTGAATCTTACTGTTCAATCACCGCTCTCCATATGCACCATCAACTCCTCGGGTACCACATATAACTTTGTCAAAGATCTCTGACAAAGTTTAGGCACGAGAAAATTTCGAAGTTCCAGCTACCCTACTATTACCCATAAGGGTAAAGGAACAGCACCACTGCTTGACAACTGGAAAGTCCCTATGTGTGTCGACCTCCGTGTTCTTGTGGCAAGACAGGTTGGCAAGAACGTCCAACCTTTACTCACATTCGAGAAAAGACTCCCAACATAATTACTTTCTCAAAAACCGAAGTAGCGGCACCGCTTTCCGAATCTCGAGAGTCAGATCCTCGACGGGATTGCTTGTTCGAAAACCGAAGAGGCACAACTCTCAGAACTTCGAGAGCCAGATTTCCTTAGATAAAGCTTGTCTGTAATCTTCACACACGTAACATCAGCTTTCCAGATACCACATACCACTTTTTCAAAGTGCTCTGACAAAATTAAAACACGTGAAGCTGGCAGCTCCCACTACATTGCTGTGACCAAGAAGGGTAAAGGAATAGCATTACTACTTGTTATTGGGAAATCCCTATATACATTGACCTCCCTCCTCAACGGACAGGCAAACCTGCAAAAATGCTCAACCCCTTTCTCGCATTCGAGAAAGGCACCCTCAACATAACCTCTCGAAATACTCAGCTTTATTTCCCCCCGATAATACCTCAGCAAATAAGCCACACCAAGAACAAGAGTATCTCATATCATCAGGGTCGAAAGCAAGAGTATCCCATATCATGCTTTCTCCCTGTCCTTTCTTCGTCCTTTGTCTTGTCCTTGTCCACACCTGCAGGACAAAGGAGAAAGAGAGCAGTCAGTCGGAACCTGAAATCAAACCTCCAATCTTGGAACTGACTGCCTGAGACCTTTGCCTGGTTGCTTACTTAGCATTGCTCTCGAGTACTCATCCTCAACTGCTGTCAAGGTCACGAATTTCCACCGGCAAATACCTCATGACAGTTGATCAGATATTGGCTCTTTACACTGAAGCTGCCAAGCGTGGATGAGTCACTATGAAGGAATGTTCTGAAGGACCATTTAAATGCAAAGGTTGCACACCACTTCTGCCATGCAAAAGATTGAAGCAGAAGGTTCAACGGTGAGCTGAAACAGATCACTACAGCACGACACCTTTCCATACCACATTCATTATTCCGTCAACAGCAAAAGTATCCCATATCATCAAGGTCGAACGTACTCTAGATTTGATGGACTTGTTTTGACCCTCAAATTCTTGAGTCGGCCTTATACTCTGAAGGGAACCAGAAAACCCTCCAGCACAGTTCAAGAATAAGCCTGTGGAAAGTTACTTCTTCAAAAGCAAAAGTATCTCATATCATCTCTTCTCCATTTGCTTCTCCTTATCCTGGCAGCTGAATGAGAGACAAGGAGAATGAGAACAATCAACCGGAAGCCGAAGTCAAACCTCTGATCCTGGGTTGCTTGCTTGGAAGTTTGACTGCTTACCTTGTCTGTCACCTCTTTCGGCAGATCTCCTAGCTCGGCGACTTGGGGGACTCCTACTATAGGGTTTGTATCGCACTTGACCAAGCCCGAAACTACAAGTAAGCTTCAAGTGAAATTGATACATTACCTTGTGCATCTTCATCGGTTAAAGATACCACCCATGGATGGAGGAAAAGTACTTCCAGAGAAGATGCCACATCTACATATGAGACAGATAAGGCAAGTGAAAATGATACCACACTTCGGTACTTAGAAGTTTCGTGATTACTCAATGGCTTGGATCTTGCAAGTCCCCAACCGAGGAGCTTCCCTCACTCGGGAACTTAGGGGAGCACTGTTTGTACCATACTTGACCAATCCCGAAACTACTGAGCACCGGTCAACGTTATACCATCAAGGACCCAGAAGAGTTCCCTTCAACCAGGAGGCCAATCACTAATGCGACACGTGTCGACATCAGAAGCCAATCACAGCTCAACACGTGTCAACATCAAAAGCCAATCACAACATGACACGTGTCAATGTTAGAACAAAACTAGAAACTCTCATCTATAAATAGGGATCATTCTCCCACAATAATCTCTAATGTCATTTTGTACTAAACTATTCACTAGAACTCACAAAATGAGAGCTTGAACCTATGTATTTGTGTAAACCCTTCACAATTAATGAGAACTCCTTTACTCCGTGGACGTAGCCGATCTGGGTGAACCACATACATCTTGTGTTTGCTTCCTTGTCCTTATTCATTTACGTACTTATCTTCACTAGTGATCGAAGCAACCAAGCGAAGGTCACAAACCTGACACTTTCTGTTGTACCAAAGTCCTCGCTGATTTTGTGCATCAACAAAATCAAAGATTATTTAATTAAATCAAGAATTATTTGATGAAGTCAAATCAGGAACCAAGCTCAAATCAAGTCTTGGTTCTTTCATTAATTAATCAAGTCCAAAATTAAGACCAAGTCGAGACTAAATCAATACTTGGAGAGCCCAAATACGAGGCTCACAAAGAAAGACCCTCAAAAACACATCCTCAAACCCAGACGCTCAAACTTCCAAACTCTCAAACAATCAATAAGCTCTCTACATTCTTCACCACACCCGTGAAGAACCATCAAGCACAACTACATGTGCCGGAGATCAAGTCACTTCGACCCTCGGATCAGCAACCCTAAATATACACTTTGCAACCCCAGGGATCGCATAAGAATATTCAAACTTTGCAATAGAGATTGTAACCCTAAATCTTCACATTAATCTAGGCGAATCATATGGGGACTTTGGGAATTTGTTGCGTGTGTTAGTATGCGCTGGGATCTCTCATATACATAGGGGCATGGGCTCTATAGTCCCGTCCATAAAGAAATCCTAAAGCCCACTTATAAAGCCTTGATCCTCCCATCAACATTAGGGTTTATCCCTTTGAACTCCTTTAGCCTCTAGTAATCTAATCCAACACTAACTATTAAATCACCCTACTTTAACTCAATGCAACCACTAAACCTTAGCTTATTACTCATAATCCCACAATGACTACGAGGCCGTATCATTCAAAAAGAATGTCGGAGTAACACTTCAACAGAGGCTACACATACCAAAGAATAAAACATCCTTCAGAATTACAATCCCATGAGAAATACAACATAATTCCTCAACTACAAATGACTCACATCCAACCACCAATGGAAATAGCACTCGTGAAAATTTAACTTCACAAGCAAAAAAACTTCTCTATAAACACCACGAAAAAAAGACTTCACTACCTTTGTATGATAACACGTTAAGATTTGGCATTTTCCATAAATTTGGATATCTTTTTTTTTTCTAAAAATTTGGACCATTTCTCGATTTATGCGTGTCATCCTTGCACAAGGGCCATACTAATCTTCTCTGTATCGTTCCAATTTTATCGGATGTCCGACATAAATTTGGATATCTTGTTATCATATTATTTGAGATAATGTGCATCAAAATGTTGTGTCGTTGTTAACAGAAATACCTTTGTAGAGTACCTGCAGACATATATAGGTTGAAGGTCTTTGTCTACATTGAATCATTGATCTTTAATAATTATCATGTTATGTATACTTAATACTTGCTAACCTAATCAAAGTAGCCAACATGATGAGGGGTTTAGAATATTCTTATCCCACCATGATGATCAACTACGAATAATATACCACAACGTTTAACGTACACGACTCTCTCTCTGACATAATTCTCTGTAAAATTTGGATCCTTCATGTAAATTTTCTTTTTTAAATAGATGCTTATTATATCTCTAATGTTTTATATGGTTGGAATATGTCGTTTAATTTATGTGCTATTCGGTTAATTAATCATCACTACATGCTATTTTGCACGCAACAGATCTTGTATTGCAGAATCATGATATTATACATGAGATTTTCAGAAAGGGAAAACCCCACGCCTACATATACGAAGAACTATCTTATATAATATACTCATAAACTTGTCCAAACTGCCCTCACATTCCCCTGGCACTACACGATTTTATTAAGTCAGTAGCTTCCAACTGAAAGCACGTAATTTTCGAAAAGATTTATCGTAGTGTTTCAGTAGTACCGAAATTGTTTTAAAACGTCAGTACATCCCAAACGAAATATTTTCATGTTTGTGCGAAATGTCTATACTTTTAGGTAGACGTCCAATGAAATATCTTCATAGGTTTGGTAGTTATTATATACTGAAAATTTATCTTCTGGTTTAGAGTTTCACTAGTCGTATTGCATCATTAAAATTGATACAACCTGAAAAGAAAAAAAAAAGTTATACTTCATGTGGAGCCTCCAAACAGCCGATTTTATGTTTCATTCATCAAAATAAGCTTTTTTTTCTTTCTCTTTTCTTTATCAGTGTGAGTATTTGTGTCTTTAGGCTTGCTTTGTTGTACCATGTAGAGTGAGAGTATGAAGAAAAGATTCTTGCAATCTCAGGTTGAACTTGAGAATAAATTCATAAAACTGAATTTTATCTAAAACATTTTATGTGCCTAAGTAGTCTTTTAATATTAAAGTGTATAAACTATTTAATATTAAAACTAGGTTTTATTGTTTGGCGGACAGTTTAGTTGCTCTGGAAATCGTATAATCTAAAAGCAAATGGAACATATTGATTTCAATTTTTCTTAGTGAAGTGCGACGTTTTTAAAATTGATTGTCACCGTTTATTCAAGTGTTATCTAGTCACTACGCACATCCTACTGCCGTAGTATAAAAATTACTCTAGCCATTGCATGCAGGTAATATAGCCTTAAGGCTGTTTTATGACAAAAAAATAAAGAGAATTGTTGTTGGCACTCTAAAAAATTTATTTTATATTCCAAACTTTTTATAATTAGAAAGAAAAATATATTTATAAGGAGTATAGAATAAGATTTATGAAGTGCTAATAACAGTTCCTAAAATAAAAATAAATATAAAGTTTAGAAGGGTACACGGGTCTGAGTCAGTAGTTGCAAGGTCGATGTACATAGGACTTGAGAGTAATATGTGTTAGCGTAATGTACATCTTTTGGGTTACCTTAATTTGAAAATGTTTGGGGTGCCATGATGACTACATCTTCTTTTTCTAAGATGTTTGAGGGTCCTAAATGACAGATAAGCTCCCTGTTGTGCTGAGTCTGCAAGACATCTATATATCTAAATACTTAATTAGGCAGATGAATTCTAACTAACACCATATATGAGAAATGTCAACCATGCATGCCCTTTCAAAGTTCAATGAATGTAATTTCGTACTACAGTTTAGTAATATTTTTCTTGATTTGCAAGTGAGAGATCTTTAAGTTTGAATCGTGTCATTTATTTAAGAATGTGCATACTAGTTTTCTGGGACATTTTTGTCATATGTACGTTCATGGTCGTTTCTTGATAATTTTTTATTACCTAAAAAAAAATATCCTCTAACTTACATCGCATATCAAGTGTCATGTTTGTTGTACAGAAAGAAAGATTTGATTATACAAAAATGCTACTCTTATATCATTTTTTGGTAGTTATAAAAGCACACCACAAAGTAGCACACAAATATCTTATTAATTTTCCTTATTAACACTAAGATTTGTCAATTGTAGCATATGAAATAAGGGTCTTTCCCGCAGAAGACTGTTTTATCTAACTACTTAAAATGTCACAAAAACTGGTTGTTGTCCCTACTGACCAGCCACCGAAAAATAATTATTAGACTGACTTACACTGATCTAAAGTCTATGAAATTTTATATACAAACACTAGACACACAGTACGACACCCATACAAATATTTGGAATTTTTGGAGTTGATTTGCTATTTAAATTAAATCGTACAAAAACAGTACAAAAACAGATTTTGAGTAGATCACAAGTTTAAGAAAAACGAGTTAGGAGAATTGCTATCCACCACCAAATAATCATGCAAACATGTTATGTTTCATTCAAATTCCTTTTATTTCCGGATGAAGATGCTCAAGTTGGCTCAATGTTAGAACACAACCTATTACTCTTTCTTACGTAGAATGTTAAGAGAATGGCGTTTTCAACTTAACTTAGTTCCTAGCATGCAATCTAGAATGGCGTGTTCATAGATTTAACAAGTAGAAATCATTAAGAATGAAAAGAGTTTGAGTCATCACAAGGCATGGTAAGTACTGGCGTTGTCTTACTTATCCTATAAATTGGTTCACATGTTAATCGCAATTAACAAGTACTACTCTAGAACATATGTAGGTCCTCATTCAACAAGGGCAGACATACACATATTCATAGCATTTGAATCCTAGATATACTTACTAAGTATGCATCCATAGAAAACATATAAAGAATTCATCACTGACATAAGTAGTAAACCAATTTTCATCCATTCATAAAAGCAATTCACGAAATGTCATAACAAACTTCAATCATATTCGGGGCTTCAAAACAGCCCCTAACTACTAAAAATTTAGTTATACATAATTCTCAAATTAAACCAAAAGTAAAACATGGGTTTGAGAAGATAAAACCAAGATAAATTGAGTGAAGCCTCTTCTTCTTTCCTTCCTTCTTTCCTTCCTTATTTTCTTTCTTCTTTCCTCCCTTCTTTTCTTTCTTTTGCTGTGTGTTCTTGTTCTCCTTTCTACCTTGCCTCTTGTTGATGTCATATATGATTCTTTTTCTTTGCCGCAAAGCCACAAAAACCAAGTGGAATACCAGCTAATTCCATATTCTCCACCCATTTGTGTTCATGATTGCCGTTGGCATTTTTTTTAAAGGAAAAGTTCCACTTTTTCCTTTGTTTTCTGTTGCATTCGTTGGCTGCCAACTAATTCCACTTAATCCTCTTTTCTAGATGTGCATTTCCACTTGCTCCAAAAGCAAATGAGTGCAATCATAACCCCATTTGCTGCTGAGTGTTGATGACAAAGCAAAACACAAAACAAGTGCATTTTATTAGCCAAATCTGCTTAGCCTTTTCTGAACCTTTCAGTGTTACAATGCCCATAACTTCATCTAGAAAAATGATATTAACAATCCGTGAATTGCTCCAGAAAATAGACATCTGTAGCTTTCCAAGCATGTAAGGCTCATTCTTTCATTCATTCTGAGTTGTTCGCAACTTGCTTCCAAAGTCAGCTAATCTGCATAGGCAGTTTTGACGAATTTGTTACTTAATATCCCACTTGTGCTACTTTTCTTTTCTTTGCTTGACAAATCACACAAAACAAAAAAACAAAGTAAATAGCTCAAAACTATAAGGAACTAACTAAGAAAAGACAAGTGAATTTGATGTAAAATATATATAAATATGAGCTTATCATTTTTCATATCACATTTATATCATATCTCTAATAGAGATAGGTCTCGCATGTGTTAGTAAGCTCTACTTCTTTTTTTTAGTTGATAATGGACCCTACTTCTATTAAAAGGTAGTACAAATACAATATGAAAAATATAATAAGGGTAACAATACTCATAAACATATCATACATGGATTTACATGCATCTAGTAGCTATGTTTCCCGTTTCCTAGTACTGCCAAAGACAAAATTAGTATCAATAACTTGAGGGGCTTCCAAAAAGTGATGCATGCAACGCATCACCAATGAGATTTTTCAGTATAACCGTCACACGAGGTGATACACCATGTGTCCCTATATAAATGGTGGGTTATGTGTGTTAAAAGGTTAATAACTTAAAAATTAAAAATTTCCACCACTTGCATAAAAACATGTGGTGTACCATTTGTGTTCCTATCACAACTAAAAATTTCTCCAGCTTGTGTCTGTCTCTATAAATATTGGATTCTCATAATGGACATCTAATATATTGCATGCTCATATTATAAAATAGAATAAAACGTAGGATGGCTCTTCAGAAAAATGAACTCATCCTATTCTTTATCATCACCCTCCCCTCCTTTGTTTTATGTTATAGCAGTTTACATGAGAACCAACTCATCGACAAGTATGTTGACGAAGCATCTGAATTTGATTCCAAAGCGTATCCATCTTACTTCAACACGATCGACGATGGCAGTAACTTGTTCAAGGGCTTGATAAAGGAAAGTGCAGATGTCCTATGCTTAAAGAGCTTCGATAAAGTGGATAGCAGCACTTCATCTTCGGCTGAGACGGTCAGTGTTAATGATTTTGGAGCCGAGGGTGATGGAGAAACTGATGACACAAAGGTAAGTAATTACATAAAATAAATATTATGGTAGTAATAATAACAAGAAGGTAGCAAATAATAGAGTTAGTCTATAGTATCCTTTGGTTCATTGGTTTAACGATATTTTGTAATGCAATCACGTTTGCACATAACAACCTGCCTTGCAATGCAATAGGACGTTCACAACCTAAACATCAACCTTCTTACAGTGATAACAATTCCATTACGTGCTATTAACTATAAAATTATCATTACTATGTAACATTAGACTGCAAATATAACTTTCAC